GGAGTCGTGGGGTGCTGGGTGCCCACATCCCCTTGCCAAGCAGAACCTTTGTTTCCAAACAGTTTTTCCTTCCATCGAGGCTGTGGGTGGATTTGTTGCCTGTGAGACGCTAATAACGCTGGCGCAGTGCCTGGTGCAGTCTCACCTCTGGTGCTGACGCTCCTGAAACATCCCAGCAGGTTGTGGGATGGTAGCCTGGCTCCTGCAGCCCTTAGCATTCATGGTAACCCATCTCCTCCATGGCTAATAGCCATGTGTGCTCACCTGGTAGCTTGTTCCTTAACCCTGCAGCCTCTCTGTCCTGCAGAAGCCAAGCTCTTAGCCTTGGAAACTGCACTTAGGTGGTAAGGAGTGATGTGTTGAAGTTTCTCAAGACTTTCTGCTTGTTGAAGAAGTCATCGGCTGTCTTCTATCCCAAATTAGACCCTGGAGGCCCACCTGGCTTATGAATCAGATTGCACACCAGCATAATTTGCCTTGTCTTTCAACGTAATGGCTTCATCCCACTCAGAGGATGCGGAGCTGAAAAAGCGGAACTCCATGTGCTGGTGGTGCATCCTGGATATGGCACGTGTGGGCAGTAGGAAAAAAATGTCTATGGCCTGGCACCTCGACGTGGCCACGAGTCATTGAAAGCACTTAAAGGGTATTTAGGCAAATCTGGCAGTGGCTGAAGATGTGTTCCTGAGCGAGCTGCATCGAGGCACAACTTCTTTCCCAAGATGATGTCTTGTGGAGTGATAGATGGGTCAGCAATGCTGCAGGGTTGAGAGAGAGTCATTAGAAATAGATGAGGAAGACGTGTCTTGGCTGGTGGCCCTGGCAGCCACTCGGGTCCTGGGAGCTGAGCTGTGTCCTGATAGCGCCATGCACCCATGGAGCCCAGCAGATGCTTCACAGGTACAGCTTTGGGATTTTTGGTGTGATGTTGACCCTACTGAGTTTTTCTGGCTGGGGGACAAAGTGCTGACCCCCATCTGTGATGGCCCCATTGCTGGTTGGGCACCAGCAGCTCCCAGGGCTGCACTTGGCACGGCCACAGCTGGAGCTAGTGTGGAGAGCCTGGCTTTTCCCCCAGGAGATGGAGGGCACTGGGGACAGTTTCCATCTCATGGGTGTGAATGGCATCTTTAGCATCCAGGCACTGTAGCACCTGGAATCCTAATTGCCTGCAAAGCGGTTCTAATGGTATTTGAAAATGAGCTTGGAGTGCAGGAGGGATCCGATGCTGCGCTGTAAATGCAGGCAGCGCTCGGGGGAGGGGGGAAAGCGGGGGTGGGAGCAGCTTCTGCATGCTGCAGCTGTGGGAAGGGGAATGTGGGCTGTGTGGAGTGGGGACAGAGGGGAGATAACTGCAGGGCAACCTCTGGTATGCGTGGTCATGGCCCTGATGTGGGCTTTGTTGGGGATGGAGAAGGGACTCGGGTCCTATCCAGCAGCTGGGGTGATCCAGGCAGCGTTTTGTAGAAAGCTGTTGCACTGGTGCTGCTCATCACCTCTGTACAGAGAGGAGCAGCTGTGCACAGTGATACCCAAATGCTCGTCCAAATGAGGACAGGCTGATTCCAGAACCTCTGCCCTATCCCATGGACACTGCAGAGCTCAGCAGCATGGAGGGCATCAGATGGGAAACAGACAGAAAAGCTCAGTGTGGGAAGGACCCCGAAGAAAGGCAGCACCCACGTGCTGTCTGTGGGTACGTGTGGCACTGCCAGGATGGAGGGCAGAGATCTGGGGCCATCTCACACCTCTTGGTGCTGCCCACTCCCATCACCTGTTCCCACAGGGTGGTTCGTGTGTGTTAGTGCTGCAGTGATGGAGCTGATGCTTAGGGAAGGTATGTTTGCTCTGAAGTAGAATGGCTGTAGCAATAACCACGCTGCATGTCCAGCAGTCAGGGTGCATGGATGTGATAAAAGTGCACAATTTGGGCTTGATGGGTTCAGGAAAGCAGCCACAGCCTGTGCTCAGAGCTGGAGTTCAGAAAGTGACATTTCCCACCCCAGGGAGAACTTGGTCATGGACCTATAAAAGGGGGATGGGGTAACCCTCCTTTAGTCACCCTGGACTGGAAGGGACACCTGAGGCATCGGTGCACCGCACTGTGCTGCCGTTTCCTTGTGGCAGTCAGAAGGGGGAAAGGTCCTTTTCCATTTGCTGGGCTGTGTTTCTGCTCGGGACAGCTCAGAACAGCAGGTTCTTGGCTAAAGAGACTTTATTTTAGTTACCAGCTGCTTATTAAAAGTAACCAGGATTAGTCATGGGCCCCGGCTGTGTCTGCAGAGCGGGTACATCCGCCCGGCGCTTTGTAGGGAAACATGAGGTGAGATGTCCTTCCCCAGGGGGTCATGCTCTGAAGTGGATCAAAACCACGGCCAGGGAAACAACGGGGTCAGGGCAGAGCGGCACGGAGCTGCAGGGGAAATGCTGCCGGCCCCATGCAGCAGAGGGCACGGGGTGGTTTGCAGTGGGGCGATGGCATTGTCCCTGCTGTCTTTCCAGCCGAAGGACAGCGGCAGCCCGGTGTCCCCAGGGCACCCGGGGCCTTGCTGCCCGCGGCCATGCGGTGTCACTCTCTGCTCGTGGTTGTGCCTCTGCAAAGCAGCGATCCTTGGGGTGGGGACTGGCCATGACCCCAGCAGAACGGGTGCCAAGGGCAGGGCTCAACCAGATACCTGTAGGGGGGGTTCATGGGGATGCTGGCAGCAGTGTGGCCGGGTGCTTCTGGGTCCATCTGCCCTGTCTTGGTGCAGGGACCATGCACTGGGGGTGAGCATCACTCCCACTGTCCCTCTCCCAGTGCCAGAAGGGCTCTCAATGAAACATCAGTCTCACTTCCCTCGTTTCCACGGGGTCCAACGCCATGAGTTCTCACCCCCAGACCCACCCTGGGGATCCATACCTCCTTCTATGCATTACTCACCACTGAGAAGCTGAAGTCATCACACTGCTCCCACTGCTGCTGCATCCCCACGGGGGAGAGTGAGCTCCTATGGCTGCCCCAGAGCTGGCAGTGCTGTGTGCTGGGCTGGCAGGGCACCGATGCTGGGAGAGGGCTGGAAAGCTGCTCTGCTCCTCAATGGGAGGGCTTACCTCCATCCTTACTGTGGTTTGTTTTTTCCTTTAGTACTTTTCAGCCAAAGAACTCCGGGATTTTGAGCGTGTGCCAGATTTTTTTTTTTTTTTTCAATTATTTTTTTTTTCATAATCGTTTTGCTGAATCGGTGTGAAAATGACCCAGAAAGCAGTAAATCTTGTCAAGATGCTCTGTGGTGGCTCAGAACAGCGCCTCTAAAGAAAGCCCCTCCATGAGCCTGCTGGGTTCCCCAGGTGCGGTGACACTTGGGGACACACGTGGCCATCCCAATGCCCCAGATCCCCCCCATCTACGTCCTGTGGATGCTGCAATTCCCCCTTCCCTTGATTAATAACCATGCAGATGGGGGGGGGGGGAATGCACTTTAATTGACTCTGATTCTGAAGCAATGCCTTAACGGCTGGGCTGTAAATAGCCAGAATCACCTTTCCAGCCTGGGGAACCAAAACAAAACGGGGATTGCTCTGCAGACCCCCACAGGCCCCTTAAAACGGCAGCTCCAGCTGAACCAGCTGCATCTCATGCTCTGATTTTTCATCTTTTATTGGGCACATCAATTGCTATTGTTTAAAGCAGCGCTGAGATTCCTTCACGCCTGTATAAATCCACCAGGTTTAGCTGCAGATCCAGGGATGGAACTCAAAGGGGGAAGCCTGAGAGCATGTGTCTGTGCTGAAATGATAAACCCACAGCCTGGAGCAAATGGGGAGTGGGATGCAGCTGGAAATCTCTGCCAGCAGAAGCGCTGGGCTGCAGCACAGCACGGAGAGTAGAAGCAGCACTGATAAAACACCCGAAGTGGGAGAGCTGTCAGCGTTTCTCCTGGCAGTGCTTTGCACAAATAGGAGCAGAGCACCCGGCAAGGTGGCCCAGGACACTGGGCTGTGCCTCTCTCCTTAGCCCTGCTGGCTGTCCCTCAGTTTCCCCATCGGTAAAATGGAGGATGTGTGCCAAACACCGCTCGAAAACCATTGACAGATAGAGGGAATGTAGGTGAGGAGCTCGGGTGATGCTGGCAGTAATGCAACAGATAGAGGGCTTGAGGCTGTGCACTTCAGCCCTGTGAGCGTGACGAGCAGCCCGGCCCGAGCGCGGCTGAATAAGGCACAGCCAGAGTTCTGTGCTGGAAGGAAATGAGCCCCGAGGAATTGGGAATTGGCCTCTGTCATCCTCAAAGCCTAATGAACCAAGTCATCCCCGTTTGTGGGAGGCTTTAGCGGGATTGGAGATGAGCAGGGAGCTGGGGGGAGGGATGGTGAGCGCTGTCCTCACACGGGATGCAGGCGCTGGTGGGGAGCTGAGCCACGCTGCTGTCCTTTGGCAGAGCCCGATGCGAGGACGTGAAGGTGGGGGCCCTGGCTGGGCTGGGGGCTGCGCACCCCATTTGTCCCAGTTTTCCTATTGGATAGGAGAACAGCCACGTTGGTCCTCATTCATCCATATGGACAAAGCGTCTGGCAAGGAAAACGAGGTGGGTGCACCCAGATGGGGTGATGCGGGGCACAGAGCTTAGAGCAGAAATGGGGAGGGGGTCCTGATAGGAGGGGATCCGAAGGGGTGGGGGCACGACCCTTCTTGCAGTGCCCAAGAGCGAGGAATTAGCGTTGCGTTCCCGCACCCCCTCCCGGGGCCGTCCACCCTCCCATCCCCTCCCCGCGTTATACCGGGGGGCGCGGGGGGCGGCGGTTGCACAGCCGCTCCGGCTCCTCACGGACGGACAGAGCGCGGAGAGAAGGACAGAGCGCCGCCCCACGGCCTGAGGGCGGGGGGGGGGGGGGGCGGGTTTGGGGGGGGGGGGGGGGGGAGCCCCGGGGCCGGGCCGGGGTCCGACCGAGAGCCGCCGCCGCCGCCGGAACCACCGCGCCGCCCCCGGGGCTGCGGCTCTGCCCGCAACAACGCCGCCGCGGCTCCTGCACCGCACCGTGGGCCGCCCGAGAGCCGGAACGGAGCGGTGAGTGCGGGGAGCGGGTGGGTCGGGGGCTGCACGTGGGGAGCGGGGATGGCTGCTTATCCCCCCCACCTCCAACCCCCTCACCCCCCTCACCCCCGGGGCAGCTCGGTCGCTCTGTTGCCCGGCGCCGGGCACGGGGGTCTCGGTGCCCTCTGATGCGCGCAGAGCTGCAGGTGCAGCCTCCAGCCCGAACGTGCCTCGCTCCGGCCTCACCCCCCCCATCCCCCCCGCACCTCTGCTGGGCTCCCGACCCGCAGTCCTCCCCGCAGCTTTTTCCCCAGCCCTGCTGGCACAACGAAGGGTCTCCCTGTGCCCCCATCGCCCCCCAGCCTTGCAGGTTCCAACCCCAAGGCCCTGCCGGCCCCCCTCTCTCCGCATCAGGGCTAGGCGGATTCTCCTGTCAAAAATCCCAGGGCTGACTGATTTAAATGCAAATGTTACCGGGGTTGTGTTTCTCGGGGAAATGGAGCAGGCAGCAGTCACAGCACACAGCTCCTATCGCGTTCCAGAATAGCAGCTTCCTGCTCCAGACCCTGAGCACTCTTGTGCCAGTTTCCTAATCCACTCGCAAAGTGGATTGAGCTAAAACCCGACAAAAGATGCTCTAATTCCCACCGCGTTCACTCAAGGGAGCGATTGCAGAAGAGCAGCTGCTCTGTGAATTCGTGCCCAGCCTTAACCGGAGATGGGTGGTTTTGCTGTTGGTTTGTGTTTTTTTTTTTCTTTTGGGAAGGAGAAAAGAGCAAACAGGAGGAGAGAGGATGACAGGAGCAGGCAAAGCACCCACAAAATAACCAGAGCAGATCAGCAAGGCGGCTTCATGGCACCCCAAATCTGAGCCGTGGGTCAAGCTGGGGACATGAGATGGCCAGCAAGGAGCAGCCTAGGCCATCCCTGCACTCTGCTCAGCTCTGTGACTTTGCTCCATGGTTGGGGATGTGATGCCCACGGGGTTGAGGAGCAAACCCCATTGGGTGCTGTGTCCCCCTGCTCTGAGGGCTGCACTGTGAGGGCCCTATTCAGAGAGGGAAAGTTCTTGCAAGCATCTCTTGCAACCAAACCACGAGGAATTTCTAAAAGCCAGCAGTAAAAGCAGAGCTGGCCATCAGCTCACAGCTCCTCGCTGTGATGCGTGCCTCCAAAGCCAGGGCAGAGCCTGTTGCTGGCCTTGCATGCAGAAATGCAGGCGATGAACCCCACGCTGACCCATGCACGCAGTGCTGCACCGCTTGGCTGTGCCCACACAACCACTGCACCCAGCATGGAGCAATGCCTTCCAGCTCCACCAGCACCGTGGGGCTCAGGGCTGCGCGTCCCAAATCTCTGCTCCAGCATCCCTCGGGATGGAGCCCGCATCCCCACATGCAGGAATGTGGTACATGTGCTTGGAACAGGAGAAAAACCCAAGCGGTGTGACAGCTGCTGATTGAATGGGTTTAATTTGAGCTAATTTATTTATCATCGGTGTTTCTTGCTACAGTGGGGGAGGAGGGAGCGGAGGCGCTGCCTTTTGCTGCTGGGGGGTGGCAGAGGTGGCTGCTGCTCCTGTGGGGCTCCTCGTGGCTTTTGGAGGTCGCAGAAATAATCCTGGATGCACTCAGCACTGAGCTCGAGGGCGAAGCTCTCCAGCACAGCGCTGCCATGCAGCGAGGAAGCAGCCTGAGCACAGGGAGCAGCCGTATTCCCAGCGACTCAGGCAAACAGGAGGCAAAGCAGCTTGGAGTGAGAGCTTTCTGTGTTGGCTTTTTTGTTTCTTTTTTTTTTTTTTTTTTTTTTTTTTTTCCTGGGAGAGGAGCTGGAGGAGGAGAAGAAAGCACTGAGTTCTGTTTCATGCCATGGGGCATGTTTGGCATGGATGGCCCCTGGGTGGAAGATGGCTTTGTGCAGCAGAGTGAGCAGGGATGGCACTGGGGTCCCACTGTTGTCAGCTAATCCCATCCCGTCTTATCCCATCCCATCCCCTCCTATCCCACCCCATCCCACCTCACTCATCCCATCTCCATCTCATTCCATCCCACAGGACACATCTCTGCCCTGAGCATCTAGCAGAGCTATGGGCTTCCTTCCTTCTGCATTCAGTGTTTGGAGCACAGGCACGTCTGCTCCTATTAGCTGTGTTGCTCTGTGCCTCGTACACTCACACATCCTTTGCTCCGGGGTCCCAACCTCAGTGCTGCGCTCTTCCCTCCCAGCAGCATTACAAGCCTGAATTAAGCATTTAATCTGAAGCCCCATGGTATGAAAGGACAGAAGTGCCTGGGTGTCGTGCGGTGTCATCTAGAGCTTTACAAGCGATGCTGTTGGAGGTGATGGAGGCTTTTTGACTTCTGGTTTTGGCTGCATTGTGTTGCATCAGTGCAGGGCACAGGGCTGCAGGTTAGCACAGAGGGATCTGGGCTCGTCCAGCTGCTTTCCCATTCTGGAGCCATTGATTTGCCCTGGAAATAGTGCTGGGAACACAGAGCACATGGCTGGAAGTGTTTCATGTGGGCAGTGGTCATTCCTGTGCCATCAGCCGTGCTGTGGGCAGCTCAGGCAGCAGCAGCAGCATCTCCCCATCTCCAAATCACACACTGCTATGTGCAGGGCCAGGCAGAGCCATCCCTGGGTTCGCTCCCTGCTGCGTTCACCCCCTCAGGTGGTGTAGAAGATAGATACAGATATATCCATGCCCCGTGCCTCAGTTTCCCCACCCATAAGGAGGGACCTCGCTTTGTGCTCTGCACTTTCCCAGCCCTCATCTTGCTGCGGTTCCATGTCAGCTCCGAAGTGATGACCTCAAGCTGGGGGACACATGGTGCTCACACACACTGTGTGTGTGTGGTGATCCCAGTGCAGAGGCATTGCCTGAGCCCGAGGGGTGGCTTTGAGAGCAGTGGAAGAACACCAGAACGAACAGGGGAGGGCAGAAATGTTCAGAGAGCGGAGATTTGCGGAGAGGTGGAGTGAAGCAGTGAAACCCATGAGAGCTTTTGGAGCAACGTGATGGGAGCTGCCAGCTGGCCAGCTGCAGTAGGGATGTTGGAGGGGTGATTTTTATGGGAGGATGTTGTCCAAGTGTTTGTGTGCCATTTACCTTCAGCAAGGGCTGATCCTGGGGCTGCCGGGAGCAGCAGCGCTTTGCAGAGCCGTCAGAGGGATGGAGTGCATGGGGGGGGTTGGATGTGGGATGCAGTGAGTGGGGGGATTTGGGATCAGGGATGTGGCTGGAAGGGCAGTCCAGGGACGCAATGAGGAGATGCAGGAGCACCTCTTGGCTGTCAGCAGTGGGATTTGGGTGATCGTATGGCGTGTGCTGGTTCCTCCTGCTTTGGGTCCCTGTGCTTTATGCTGTGTTGCTCTGGGTGCAGGAGCTCTCCCCATAGTGGTGGGTTTCCATCCCTGCTCCTTCCCACACCGTGCTGCCTTCCCCTGGAGTTTTTCATGCCGCTGTGAGTTTGGCTGTGCTGTGCCCATCAGCCCCATCCCACCATGCTCTGCCCTCAGCATCCCCAAACGCACACACACTGGGTCCCAAACAGCTCTCCCATGGGCTTGGGGTGCAGAAGGGGCGCTTTCCATTCTATAGTTTTGCTCTTTTTGTTATAAGTCACATCTCTGCTCTTTTTCTTAAGCCTGAGCAGCTCAGATGTGTAGTGCTGGAGCTCCTCTTTCAGCTCCCGACACATCAGCCAAAATAGCAGCGGCCGCATACAGCCGGGGAGAGGGACAAGTGTTGCTGAGAATTAAAATGACAGATCCCAGTGTCACAGTCTCGGAGGGTTTCGTGCTTTATTAAGCAACAGTGAGTTCATGGGAAAGGACTTTTACCCGGAGCGCTGGTTGTGTTGATATGAAAAGCAAACTGGGGGCTATCTTTAGGTTCAGCTGTGTGACATGGGGTGGTGAGACGGGCATCCTCATAGCCCTGCAGCATCCTCCAACCCCTCTGCGTCCTCATCCTAGGGGCTGAGCAAATGCTGTCGCTTGCAGCCAGCCGTGCACAGCATGGAAACATCTCCAAAAGGAGGAAATCCCACTGCTTCCCTGGCAGGATGCTGGGAACCTTGGGCTGTAGCAGTGGGGCTGTGGGCAATGTGAGCCCACTGCGTGGCTGCAGTGCTCCAGTCTCTGCTCCCACACGTGGTTCCCTCGCAGGTTTGGTTTTCCCTCAGATGTTGTTTTAATAGATTGCTGCCCTAGGGTCTCCCTCTGCCTGCCACCCCCTCCTATTAAAAATTCATCCTTCTGCCAGATACCGTTGCTACAGGGAGAGGGGAAGAAATAAAGGAGGAGGGTGAATATTTAAGCGGAAGAACATTTGGAACGACTCTGTGCTTCTCCCCAGCTTCCCAACTACCTCTGAACCCCTTTGCTCCAGCGCAGTGTTGCCCTAATGACTGCAGCTCATTGTTTCCCACTTCCCAAGCCCAAATCCTGGAGCGTGACCCTGGTAATCGAACGCTAATTAAGGAGGAAAAACAAGCAGCACCCTGCATTTGCAATCCACAGAAGTAACATAAATGAGATCTAAACGGTGACCTTTTTACCAAAGAAGGGTGTTAACCAAGCATGACAAATGGAAGGAAAAAGGAAAAAAAAAAAGACAGAAACACTGCTGCATTTGGTAATCCCAGCTCCTCTGTGCACAGCTGTGGTGGGAACATTTCTGTGTGGGGTCTGCCTTCAGCAGGAGGTGCTGAGGGTTGCAGAATGTCCCCATGCAGTGCTGGGGCTTTGCTGCATGCTGCTTCCTCCCACCCCTCACACCAAGATCTTTCAGCAGTTGGAAACTCAGTCCCCACATTGTTTGCTGCTGCAGTTGCAAACGCAAAAGGAGTTTGTCTTCAAGTTCTCACCGGGTTGTAGGGTTGGATTCGATGGTCCTTATGGGTCCCTTCCAACTCGGATCATTCCAGCACCTCATCTTCCTATCATCACTGACTGTGCCCCCCAGGAGCGATGCTGTGCCCCTGCTGCTGCTTTGGGTGAGCAGAGCAGAGCTTTCCTCCCCTCCCAAGGATGATTTTCCAAATGATCCCCTTTCCTTTTTGCAGAACGCTCCTCTTTTTGAAGGCACATCACTAAGACAAATGAGCTGATGCCTCCAAACGAACCCACATCTCCCATCGCCCCCGCATTGGGTCGGTGCTGTCATGCATTTCTCCAGAAGGGAAAGGTCAGCCCACAGCCCGGCCAGCTGGGAGACCTGACATTAATTACACTAATGAGGGAAAGGCTCCAGCTTGCTGCTTTGTGCTCCTGGCTGCAGTGCCATGGGGGCAGAGGGACTGGGGCTGGATTTGGGGGTTCCTGCAGCACTCTGAGTGCACTGTAAGCTGGTTTTGCTGCAGGTTTGCAGGCTCTGCATGGGAGCAGCGAGCATCGGGGTGACAGGAATGAGGGGCAGTGGGTGCATGGGAAGGGACCCATTCCACGGGGATTAACATGCAGACACACACACACAAACCTGAAGTAACCTGAACTGGAGGTTGCTAAGTGACGTAAGGGTAACCAAAAATAAATGCCAAGAGCATCGGTTGAGACCCTCATCACTCAGATGTGTGGGAGCAGCAGGCTCTGTAATGAAGGCAGGGGGTTGAGGCCGTTGCTTTCCTCTGAAGTGAATGTTGGGACTGCATCCAGGCAGGACCGTGCCATGCTAAGCACTTTGCAAGGAGAGCAGAGGATGGGGAGGGTTTGCTTGCCTCTGGGTTCGCTGCAATTTGGTTCCAACAGGATTGGAATAAGTAGAGGGAACATACCCAACCTGCTGCAGTTTGCATTGGGATTTGCAGTGAGTCGAGCTGCCCTGTCGCTGTGCTTGACCTCAGCACGGCAGTGCATCACATTTTGCAGCCTCCCTCACAATTATTGCATTCCTTGGGCATTGCAGGAGCCCCATCTGCTCTGCAGCCGCCAGCAGCGTGGAACAGAAGCAGATTGCTGCATGTGCTGCCCCGTGCATTTGCTAGCTGTGGGTTGGATACCACTGCACCCAAGATCTGCACCCCTATGTGCTCCCCATGTGCACCCCACCTGCTTCAGCAGCACAGCTCTGCTTGGTGGGGGGGGGGGGTCCTTGCTGGTATTGCTGCTATTACTAATGGGAGATTCTGTAGTGCTGCTCCTTTCCTCCTCACCATTCTGCAGGTGTGCAAAGCCCAAGTGTTATCTTGTGCATGTGCACGGTGCTGCTGGCTGCAAAAGGGAAGCACAGGGGAGGAGCAGAGGAGCTGCTGAGCATGTCACTGCCATCAGTGGGGCGGCAGTGGGCTCTCCTGGAGTGATGTTTGGTTTTCTGGTCTTTGGGGACCCCAACAGTGGGGTTCTACCCATCAATGAACTGTTAGGATTAGAGTTAAGGATAGGCATTAGAGCTTTAGGGTTACAGTTAGGGTCAGGGTTTTTGCATTAGGGCTTTGTGCTTAGGCTTGGGGCTTTGTTGTTAGGGTTGGGGTTAGTTTTAGGGTTAGGGCTTTGGGGTTAGGGTGGCTCACAGGAGGCTGCAGGGCACAGTCACTGTCCTGGCCTCAGCTCTGGTGATCTGTTAGCTGAAAGGTGCTCTATTTCCCCTTAAAGGGAGTTCTCAAATCCTTAAATCTTGATTAGTTTCTGGCAAATTAAACTTGATCTTCTCTGAGGGTTGGTGCCCTGTGCCAGGGTTGGGGATGCTTCACCCCAAGAGGCAGAGACCCAGGCAAGGGTCACAAATTTGGACACCTACCTGTTTGTTAGATCTTCCTATGTGATTACATACATATGTATAACAAGGGGAGGTGCAACAGCCAGCTCACACACTGGGGTGGAGCAAAGCTAAGTCTGCTTCCCCTCTTCGGGATGTGACTGCGCTTTGGGCGTCTGTTTGGGGTGCTGGGTGCTGCAGGAGGGGATTCACACTCTTCTTCCTGTGCTGTTTTACCCAGAGGAAAGGGCTCTGGCCGTGCTCCACACTTCACCATGTAAACCTGCCCAGCCTCGCAGATGCCAGCTGTCAGCGCAGCCCTGGACCTGCAGAACGGTGAGCACAGGGGGTCTCCATCTGAGGGGGTTCGGCTCCGGGTGCTCCTCATGGCATTGGTTCTGCAGCACTGACAGCTCAGTGCTGCTGTGTCCAGGTTTGTTCCATGGAACGGCTGAGAAATCTCTGCCCGTTGCCCCAAATGGAGAGCTCGGGGTTTGGGGAGCCTCTCTGGGGCTGCAGATGGGAATGGTGATGCTTGCCTGCTTCAGCCACAGCTGATGCCCTGAAGCTGCCAATCTGGGGACCAATGCCAGCATCTCGTGCTCCAAATGTCCCCATTCTCTGCAGCTCCCGGCATGGAGAAGTCATTGGGGCAGCACAGCAGGAGCCCCTGGGCTGCTCTGCTCCCGGGTGCAGGGCTGCATCCTCCAGAAATGCAAATCTGTACTGCTTCCTACCCAGGTTCACTGCATCCATCCGTCCACCCACCCGGCTGCAGTGTGGGTTTGAGATCTGCTCTCCATAGGGCTGAGACAATGTCCCCTGCCCCCTATCTGCCTCCTCTTAATAAAACAAAGCTGGTTGGGTCTAGGTTGCAATATACACCCTGCCTGGCAAGATGAGGGTGTGCATTGCGAAGTGGAGTGTTATTTCCCCCCTTTCATGGCATTTTACTTTCTTCACTCGCTGCTCCCATCATCATCACTGGGACGGCTGATAGCATTTCAAGCACAGCAGCTGTAGACATGTCTTAAAAAAGGCATCCAGCCCCGGACTGATGCTGAGCAGAGCTGAAAGGCAGACGGACCGCACTGCCCTACAGGGATCTCTGCCCTGAGTGGGTTTTTCTGGGAGGTCGGGGGCTGTGGATCAGCAGCTGCTGCACCTCTGAGCCGCCAACTTGTTTTCCCATGGAAAGCAGAGCGGTCCTGATGGGCTCAGGCTGTTTTCCACCCATGGCTGCCTCTCCACCCTGTCTTCAGAGCAGACATCTGTCTGTCCGACTGCCCTGTCATTCTGCTCCTCCTGCCCACAAATCCATCTGTCTGCTCAAATCAGAGCTTTGGCAGTGATGCGGTGCCCATGCGGGGTGGCTGGCCCCATAGAGCCCTGCTGAAGGCCTGCAGCACCCCAAGGACCCTATGCCAGGATCCATCCCTCGGGTGCTGATCTGAGGGGGTTCCTGTGCCCCTGGAGCATCCTTGTTGTCTGCATTTTGCACAGCATCTCGCATGAGGTGTCACCAGGTGAGGAATTTGGAGGTTTCACCAACCCAGCGATCCCAGCTGGGAGCCTGAGCTTAATGCACAGCCCCATCCAGCTGAATGGAAGCGCTGGACCAAACTGGAGCATTCCTGGGGCAGCAGCAGTAAAATCCTCAGCACCCAGAGCCTGCACCCAGCCAGGGTGAGAGTGGGGGCTCTTCATGCCCCTGAGCAGCATCATTAATCAGCTCTCTGAAAGGTGGATAATTACAGCGTATGCTGTTCTGAAATGGTTATTAATCATCCTGCTCCCGCTCTTCATTTATCACAAAGCTGCCTGGCTCGGAGCGAAGGCACAGGGTCCCCTCCCCAGGTGGCTGTGATGAGGTGGCACAGTGGTCTGGGTGCTTGGGTGCTGCGTTGGGTGATGTGCCTGCAGGAGGTGGGTGGCAACGGGAGGTGGTTCCTGTCGCCATCCCCAAGCACAGCCTGGGGATCCCAAGCTTGGAGATCCATCGAGCCCCCCTCCATGCGAATCCATCTCAGTGTGCTGTGCAGGCTGCAATGAGCAGGCGGTGAAGTTTTGGGGAAATAACCACACAAAGTTGCAGGAATGCAGGCTTCTGCAAATTAAAACTTCTCCTTGCACAGCAGAAACTCACTGGGCGAACCACAATGGTAACCCAGGGGTGCTGCCTGAGCCCCCACTGCCACCCCCCACCCGAAGCGTTGGAAAGCAATGATGACACTCATGGAACACCAACCACCTGCACCCGCCGCAGTGACCTTTTGGAAACGTTGTACTCTGTGGTCGTATCGAAATGTCTTCTCTCCAGAGAGCATCTTGCAGAGATAGAGATTCAGACGTGATGTCTATCAAGAAGAAGAGCAGATTGCGGCCAATCTGTGGCTGCCTGCGCGGTGTTGCCTGGGCCACGTGCTCAACAATCATAAGGTTGTCTCTAAAAATAAGCAGTGCCTTCTTTGGGGCTGTCTCCTTGGTGTTGGGAATCCTTCATTCCGGGGCCTCGCAGCCGTTGCGAGGGATGGGGGTTTCCACGTGGTGGTGAGCAGAGCCTGGAAATGAAGTGACCCAGAAAATCTGTTGGGATGCACGGAGACGGGAGCACTGGATTCCCAGCAGACCCTGATGGGATTAGGAATAACTCTGTTTGGTAATTCTCCATTGGCTCTGCTGATTGATTTTCTTCCTTTCTGCACTCAGCTCGCCCTGTTTCAGCTGGATTGTTCTCGTGCTCGCGTTGCTAATTGCCTGATGGCCAGAGCCTTGTCGGGGCAGTGCGGGGAGGCTGCTGGCCTCACATCACCCCCAGGTCTCTGTGTCTCTGCTCTCATTGCACCTCCTGTGCTCCTGGCATCAGCTGCTCTGATTCTGCACCCTGGATCAGATGGAGCAGCCTGGTGGACCAGGAGCCTGTGACCAGCAAGCATCTTCCTGAAACCCAGAGAGGTTGAGGATGCCCCATCCCTGGGGGTGCTCAAGGCCAGGTTGGAAGGGGTCCTGGGCAGCCTGATCTGGTATTAGATATGGAGGTTGGCAGCCCTGCATGCAGCAGTGGGGGTTGAAGTTTGATCATTGGGGTCCCCTCCAGTCCAAGTCATTCTATGATTCTGTGAAGCCATCGGGGCTGGCCATGCTTCGTGTCTGGAGTAGGGGACTGAGTGCACCCTCAGATGACACCAATTGGGGAAGGAGCATCAATCTGCCTGAGGGAAGGATCAATCCCTATGTCTTGGCTGAGGCCGATGGGATGAGCTTCAACAAGACCAAGTGTTAAATCCCAAATTTTGTTCCTAACAGCCCCATGCAGTGCTGCAGATGTGGGGCTGAGCAGCTGGGAGCTGCACAGAGGGAGATGTGAGTTGGCAGCTGCGGGTGCTGCTGGGCATGGGGCTGGGACTCCCGTGGGTGCTGCTAAAGCACAATCCAAGGGTGAAAATGGCTTCGAGCAGCAGTCTCTGAGGGCAGCCCCAGTGGGACCATTCTGCAAGCGGATGCAAGAATAAAACAAGACGTTGCTTCAGCTGAAGTAGTTGTACTTGCATGTTGTCAAAGCAGAGGAGCCTAGAAATGTCAAGCCTGGCTTGTTTTCTGGTGTTTATTCAGGAAAGGAGAGACCTGGGAGCTGAGGAGCCACTTCTGCGCAGCTCTGCCCCACTGTTCAGTTGCTCCATCGCTGCTCCATCGCTGCTCCATGGCTGTGCTGCAGCCTGGGTTCTCGTGGCTCTGCTTCCCAGCCCAGCGAGCAGCAGGCGTGTTATTTTAAAAAACAAATTAAACGTAATGAGCAGCCTCTATCTAGGCCTTTGAGTTGAGTCTTAATTGGCCTCACTCCCCAGAGGCCAGGCAAGCCCCGGAGATGGTGATGCTACGACAGTAATAAGCTATTAATAACCCATAGTGACTTCTCCTGCAGGTTGAGTCTGGGTGCATCCTTCCCAGGTCGGGGAGAGGAGGAACAGAGACCACAAGGATGAAATCGAAGCATGAGCACACGGCCAGCTCCTCATGGATCCCAAAAGCAATAGGAATGCATGGCCAGAAAGTGGGGAAAGCAGTGGGACCTGTGACCCCACCTTCCATAGAGCCCTACTTTGCACCGCACAGCCCCATGCTAATGCCCTGTGGATGATGGTGATGCTTTCCCTCCTGGCTCAGAGAGACAGGAAAGCGTGGTGAAATTAAGACATGTAAAAAGAAGTCTTTAAAAGATAATCTCCTGTGGCTCCTAAATTGCACCGAGCAATGGGTTTACTGCTGGAGAATTGCTCGGCTTGTATAATAGGATCAGGGCTGGAAATTATCCACAGAGATAGCATCCTTCTCCATGCTGTGGGCACAAAGAGGGTTGGGAATGTCCCTGTGCACCCCGAGGCTGGATCCTGTAGCATTCCAGAAGCAGCCCACAATGCTCTGTCCGAGCAGCCCTATTGTTTAATTAGGTTAATGACAACGCTTGGTTCAGGAAAGGTGGTTGATGAGCTTTGCAGCAGCGCCGGGATGTACATCTCTAGGAGATTTGGAGCGAAGGAGGAAAAAGAGATTCGGGAAGGGGAAAGAAGCAAAAAGGCAAATGGGCAGCAAGGTGCTAATTGCTCCAAAAGGAGGGCAGCAGTGATTGAGATGTGGCAGCAGTAATCCATAATATGCCAAGACTGAGCCCACAGCTTCCCCCAGCCCCACTGTTGAGGGCGGGGAAGGGAGGATTGGCTCCTGCATGAAGCTCTGAGTGTCCTCCATCCTATGCAGGAAGGATAGGCTGTGGATGAGTAGGATTTGTTTCATCAGGCAAGACTCAACCACAGCCACCACAGGGAGCAAGGAGGATGTGGTGTCCCACCTTTGCTCTATGCCTGTGTTTGCAGTATGGTCCCCAGGCCACAAGAAGAGGTCGGTGGTGTTTCCTGCAGGGTGAGGACCTTCTCAGGGCCATGGACCATGGTTTGGGGTACTGCTCCAAAGGAGGAGTAGCTCACAGCCTGGTGATCTCAATAGAACTCGCTGCTGACACCCCTCTCCTTCCTTTTCAGGTGTATGGGAGAATGGTAGAGAGTCGGTAAGACCATGCTCTACACCATGACATGTTGGTTCCTGGTCCTGGTCCTCCACCTGGTCCTCCTGAGCCCACTGCAGGTGGCAGCCTGCCCTGCCCGCTGCGAGTGTGCCCCGCAGCTCAAATCAGTGGTGTGTCACCGCAAGCGGCTCACTGCCATCCCCGAGGGCATCCCCACAGAGACCAAGATCCTGGAGCTCAACAAGAACCGCATCCGCTGCCTGAACCCGGGGGACCTCTCCCCATACCCCTTGCTGGAGGAGCTGGACTTCAGCGAGAACATCATCACCAATGTGGAGCCAGGAGCCTTCAGCAACCTGTTCAACCTGCAGACTCTGCGGCTTCGGGGAAACCAGCTCAAGCTCATCCCCCCGGGGGTCTTCACCAAGCTGACCAACCTCACCATCTTGGACATCAGCGAGAACAAACTCGTCATCCTTCTGGACTACATGTTCCAGGACCTGAGGAACCTGAAGAGCCTGGAGGTGGGTGATAATGACCTGGTGTACATCTCCCAGCGCGCCTTCTCAGGGCTGCTCGGCCTGGAGCAACTGACCATTGAGAAGTGCAATCTGACCTCCATCTCGGCTGAGTCACTCTCCTACCTCCAGAACCTCGAGGTGCTGCGGCTCCGGCACCTCAGCATCTCTGCGCTGGAGGAGCAGAACTTCAAGAAGCTCTACAACCTCCTGCAGCTGGAGATTGACAACTGGCCTCTGCTGGAAGACATCTCCCCCACCAGCTTCCAGGGCCTGAACCTCACCTCACTCTCCATCACCTACACCAACATCACAGCCGTGCCCACCGCTGCCTTGAGGAACCTGGTGTACCTCCGCTACCTGAACCTGTCCTACAACCCCATTAGCACTGTGCTGAAGGGCTCCTTTAAAGACCTCATCCGGCTCCAGGAGCTGCATATCGTGGGCGCTCTCTTGGTGTCCGTGGAGCCGCAGGCCTTCTCTGGTCTGAGACAAATCCGTCTGCTCAACCTCTCCAGCAACTTTCTCTCCACACTGGAGGAGAGCACCTTCCACTCTGTGAACACTCTGGAGACGCTGCGGGTGGACAGGAATCCCTTGGCCTGCGACTGCCGCCTCCTCTGGATCCTACAGCGACGGAAGACGCTCAACTTTGACGGCCAGCAGCCCATGTGCTCCACACCACCTGAAATCCAGGGGAACGCGCTGCGTGACTTCCCCGACTCCGTGCTCTTCGAGTATTTCACCTGCCAGAAGCCCAAGATCAGGGATCGGAAGCTGCAGCACGTGACGGCCCGCGAAGGGCAGTCCGTGTCCTTCCTGTGCCGGGCGGACGGGGAGCCAGAGCCCTCCATCGTCTGGGTGTCCCCTCAGCACCGCATGATCACCACGCGCAGCACGGGGCGAGCAGTCGTACTGCCGGGGGGCACCCTGGAGATCCGCTTTGCCCAAGTGCAGGACAGCGGTACCTACATCTGCATTGCCAGCAACGCAGGGGGCAACGACACCTATTTTGCCACTCTGACGGTCAAGGGACACCCGAACGATGGCTCCTCCAACGCCAACCGGACTTTGTACCTCAATGAGTTCAATGACACCTACCATAACGACACGCAGGTCTTCTTGAAGTTCACGCTTGATCTCAAGACCATCCTGGTGTCCACAGCCATGGGCTGCATCACCTTCCTCGGCGTGGTCCTCTTCTGCTTCCTGCTCCTCTTCGTTTGGAGCCGGGGCCGAGGGCAGCACAAGAACAATTTCTCGGTGGAATATTCCTTCCGGAAGGTGGATGGACCCACCACCACCACGGGCCAAGGAGGAGCCAGGAAGTTCAACATGAAGATGATCTGAGCCTCTCCAAAGGAGAACCGTTGGCTGCGCCCGGCCCTGGGCACGGCTGTGGCACAATGGGGCCAGGGGGCACAGGGGCATCAGTGATGTCCTGGGGCATCGACAGAGCCAGCAGCACGGTCAGAGACCGAGGGCTGTTGGACTGGATGATGTTGGAGGTCGTTTCCGACCTTAATGATTCTGTGATTGGATGACCCAGCTGGCCCCAGCCCCGCAGTGACCCCACAAGTGGCCCAGGGGCCATCCCAGCTCCTGATGTAGCTGATGTTTTTGCTACCAACTATGCATTTCTCAGTGAGATCAGCAGCATTTTGGCCTGGGAAAACAAACAAACAAACAAACAAACAGAAAACAACAACTTTTCTTCCCCCTGTTCCCTTTTTTTTTTTTTTTTTCTTTTTTTTTTTTGTTCTGTTTTTAAGAGACTTAAGAAAACCATCTTGGTGTTACTTATGGTTGTTCTTTTTTTTTCCTCTGACACTTTTTTTAAAATGAATTTCCAAAAGAAAAGTCTTCCAGTGCGACACAGGACTGGGGAGCAGCACTGGGGTGTCCCCAACCCCTCCCTGGGCACAGACAGACCCCAAGGCACGGCCACACCGTGGGACCTTCACCTGGGTGACTCCAGCACAGGGCAGCTCAACCCTGTGGGCTGGGGGTGCTCCTGCACAAGCAATAATGATCCACACCTGTGCAGGTTGGTGCTGGGGTGTGAGAAGGAAGCAATGGAAAAAATGAGGCAACAGGCATTAAGAATTGGAGGAGCAGCCCCACAGAAAGGCTGTAGCCAGGGTTGGGGTTGACCTGTTGGCGGCTGTGGAGCAGTGGGGTGGTTCTGCTGTGGGTGCAAAAAGCAGCTTGGGGTGAATGCAGGGCATTTCCTTCAGCTTGCAAACTTGATGGCTGCAGGACAGAAGGAGCTGCCTCATCCTGCATGGGGAAAGCCAAAACAAAAAAAAAAAGACAGGAGAGAAGAAAAAAAGGAGTTGGAGCTGAGGAACCAGTGGGAGAAGCAACCCCAGAGAAAAGGTCCCGGATGGTGCTGCTGCAGCTGGAAGGGGCAGGAAGGTCCTGGCTGTGTGTGCACACGTGCAAAGCATGGGTACATGCACAGCACCCATGCAGGTTCCTCTACTGCTCGTTTCCCCATTTGCCATTGCAGCCATCCTCCAGCAGCTCCTGTTTTCAACATGGGGAGCCCCCGTGGTCCCACTTCTTCCTCTCACCCTTTTCTGCACCCTCCTCATCCTCAGATCCCACATCTCTCAGTGGTGGGGACTTGCTGCTATGGGGACAGTCCCCAGCATTGTGATCCTTGTCCTGTTGGTTCTTTCACCTCTGTTTGGCCTCGGGACGTGATTTTGGGCTGAGAAAAGAAACCATCCCCATTCCTGTGGGTACATCCCACTGGGTGTCCCTTCTCCTTGGAAACACACCCAAGATCACCAAGACTCCTGCTGGAGTTAATGGCATCCCCAGGCATTTGGGGCTGTGTTTTGAGCACAAACCCCCCAGGCTGCTCCCACACTTTTCCCTGCCCATGTTTTGGAATTGTGATGGGGACATCCATCTCACACTGTCATCCTTCCATGGGTCCCATTGCGTGCCAGGTGCCCCCATGCCCCCCATGTCACCCCACTTGGGGTTGGTTTTTACCTGGGGGGTGGAAAGGGTTTGAGCACAAATCCTTGCAGCCAGGAACCTGCCACGTGCAAAAGAAGGTTTGGGCAGTGCAGACCTGCACAGTTTTATATGTGATGAGCATGTGGAATATATA